TTTGTCTCACACTGCAGTCCAGTTGAAATCACCAACTCCCACACGCTTTCGCATTCAGTTCTCGCCACTCTCTCCCTCTCACTACAGTGTCGTCACCAGTCTTGAGCAACGCTTACTTCCGAGTGGCTCACCACTAGCCATCGTCCCTCTCGTCCGCTCAACCTCTTTTCTCAGCGGAAAAAGCATGTGCAGCCTGATTGTCTTCGTGTCCATACTCTCAATCAGCAGGTCACGCAACGATCGCCCGTGCCCACCTTTCTTCGAACTTTTCATGCGTGTCCCTCTTACTTCACCATATCCACTTCACGCAAACTCTTCGCGCATCGAAGTCAGGTTGACGTCAGCCTCTCCAGCTGCATGTACATCCCACTTTTGCCCTTCTCTTGTCACCAACCTACCCATCCTCTGCTTAGCAGCCACTCATCAACATACGTCTTCCCAGTTCTGACACGTCGTACATTGCTGCACTTCCGTATTGCACCGTCCCTCTCTCTTCGTTGACCGCTCTCTCACAGGACGCTGCCTGTCGCGCGTGCAACTCTCTCTACTCGTCTCTCGGAATAGCACGTGTTTTTTCTCTCTGAACGTTGCCCCCCCTTTTTGCCTCACACCCGTTTCTTACCTTTACTTTGTTTCCCTCCGGTCCCTCGGCCTCCAGTCCCGCGGCCCCTGGTGTCAACTATCGTGAGTTGGCCTCGGGTCCCTTCTCCACTGATTCCACGGCTCGGTGGTGCCTTTGGATCTCCTCGGGTCTGTTCCAGGACCTGAGATCCGTCTCACGGTCCACCTCGCTCATTTCACTCTCTCCGCCTGAGTCTCTCTCGTTGTGCTGTTCCTTCCTTGTCTCGGTCTCCGTTGATGATTCGGTCTTGTGATAGATGACCGTCACTCTCAAGCCCACGGTCACCCCATCTCGTCTGCATCTCCGCTCCGCCCTGTCGCGTGCCTCAGAAATGGCAGCCTGCAGCCTCTGATCACCTCGCATCTCCTCCTCTCTCCCACCTTCTATGCAGACCTTCAGTCGGACTACCTCTCCCCCATTATAATTCAGGGTTGTCGTAATCTAAGGGCCTTCACCCGACACTGGAACCCAGCGCACAGTGTGTCGCCAACAGCCAGGCCTATAGCCGTGTAGCGCCATTGCAAGTCAGTATAGCCAGCCCCGCTTTGATAGACGCACAACACTAGACCATAGACCTCCTATAGCAGACCACTCCCCACCGGAACTCGCAGTATAGAATGTATATCACCAGTCGACTGGCCAGGGGCAATATCTCAACTCCCTCTCCCTTTTATAGGCCTGTCCTGCGTGTTCTGAATGAAGGACTCAGATTAGTCCTTTTCAGACCTTACCAGTATTTCAAGAATTTTACAGTTTTCAAAATGACTTGCAAATTAAAACCGAATAGTTTTCAGAGAAACACCTGTGCCTATAACCCAATCGATCGATCACTAAGTAGCCTCTCTCTTGACAGTTCCAGACCCCAGCAATATGGCAACAGGCTCGGCACTATGGTCCCATAACTCGGAACCGATGATCGCATTTTCCCCCTTTTTAGTGCACCCTCGATCTATCCCATTTGGGTGCCCATGTCTGATGGCAAGGAGGGGACTTATGACCCTCCATGACGGGGGTGATAGGCCTCATACCGATGCGGCCGCGGGTCACCCTCCTTTTGAGGTTCTGCCGCGCGATGTCAGATTGAAGCGCACCCACAGACTGTATACGTGAGATCGGCCTACTTAGGCCACGAAAAGATGGTTCGAAATCCGAACCGTTGGCTTTCCGCGAAAGGACAAGCCAACAGGTAGAAAATCAAATTTAAAAAACTAAATAATAATAATAAAATAAAATAACAATAATAACCACAGGAAAAAGGAAAAGGAAGGAGAGGGTGGCGTCATAAAACCTCTCCGTGCACTAGCCTTGCCTGAACCGCGCCCCGCGCTCACACACGGATCTCGGGTTCCTTTTCTTTCTTTTCCCGTTTTCTTTTCTTTTTAGTTCTCACTGTATCTGCCTCTTAACCTGGCCACCGGGGTCCGCACGATTCAGACAAACAGCTCCGGTACACGCAATTTTACGAGGGATCGATAAGACCCTGACCATGAGACGACATTTGCGGTCTGAGACCTGAATCGGCGGCCTTCCCTATGAAGTGACAAATCATTCAGGTAGAAAACGACAATTCGAAATTTTGGAAAAAAAATCATAGCATCGCAGTGATCCGAGGCCACTGGATTTTCCCCATACTAAAGCGGGTTTAGATTTTTGGCGTTTTATTTTCTTTTCCTCTTTCCTTCTCCGACACGACTTTCTGCCTCATGCACCCTACCCATAACTCGGCATCAGGGCACTCGGCGCGCAGTAGAAAAGACTGCGCCACCCCCTTCATCCCTGCGTCCCAGGGCGAGCCCGACCGCCACCACGGTCACAGGCCGGTCGTGCTCTGCTGTACAGCAGGGCGCCGAGCCTGCGTGGACCAACGGAAGTCCTGTGGCGCACCCCCTTTTTGTCGGGGGTACTACCACTGGGACTGGTCCATGCCAAGACACAGCTTGGATGCTAGGAACAACAGGGGTCCAGGATATGTCTACAGGCTGGAACATCAGCTCGGGGAGTTGGTACAAAAACCGTTACCAAGCAGGGCTTGGTACATAGAGGAGGGCCGAGAAGTCGTGCCCTCCGACAACGCGAACTGTGACAAGGAAAGTGGTCCGGGCTGCGAGTTTTGTCACAGGTCCGGGCTGCAGCAGTTGTCATGGGTCCGGGCTGTAACACCCGGCGTGAGTGCCCAACTGCGTCTTCTGGTGGCCTATGGAACCAGACACGATGGGGCCACAACTGACCACGGGCGAAGCGGGGGAGGAGTACAGGACATCGCCCGATAGAGCTCTGAGGGATCTGAAGGAATGAGTTAGGCGGGAAGCACCGATGAGATGGGATGACCAAACGAATGACGGAGAGCCCGACGTAATGGACGAACCGGTCGTGACAGAGCCGCAGGAGACTTTGAAGACAGGAACCTCGAGCGGTCGACGAGAAGCGACGAGACGACGCTCCACCGAGTATGAGCGAAGGAAAACTATGGCGGATAGGCACAAGGACGACTGGAGAGAGAGTTCGAGGGATTTCTATTGGAGAGACAGAGATAGAGACAGAGCGCCGTCCAGGCGAGTCTTCGACCCCCAGACAGGGGAGTCGCATCCGCTCCCTTACAAGAGCAAAGATCGGTATATTATTACGCACAAGACCTTAGAGCCTCCTACTTTAAGAGGCTATGGCATTACAGAATATCTGGAGAAGTGAGAGCTTCATGCTAGCCGGAGTCAGTGGTCGGAGGAAGAGATTATAGAGAACTTCCTATTTATTGTGGACCCAAGTCTCGGCAAGGAAGTTAAGGAAGCCCGACCGAAGGATGGGAAATGGACTACGTACAAAAAGAACCTCGTTGAGCTTTACAAATTGGAGGATAACAAGTACTACATCAAGGACCTTGAGACAATGACTCAAGATGAAGATGAGAGCGTACAGGCATTTGGGATGCGTTTCCAGAAGATCTCCGACGTGCTGATGAAGAAGGGGAAGATCTCAGAGGTCGAGCGCTGTACTATCTTCATCGGACACCTGTCCAAAGGTAGACAAAAGAGTATACTTAGAGATCTTCCGCGCGACAAGCTTGACTTCCCAGAAGTCCTAAAGCTCGCGATAAATGTAGAGGCAGACGACTACAATGACTTGGTATGGAGAGGAATGAGGAGGCGAGACTTCTCTTTCTATAAAGAGTATGCCACTGATAGATGCCCTGACTTCAAGGACTATCCCTGGTCGAAAAAGAATGAGGCCGTAGCTGAGGAAGTGAAGGAGATAAGGGACATGGTAAGGGGATTGACAAGGCAGGTTACAGAGATTGTGACCAATACGGGAGCCACGACATACTGGGACAAACCCGGAGGGCCCTATTCACTTCGGTGGGACCGTAGGAACAACGATTCCTGGAGGAGTGTCGAGGATAGAAATCCTCGAACGCTAACCGATTATCGAGTAAGGGAAAGGGAGAGAGACGATGAGCCATGGCGACGAAGGGATGATGAGATAGACCGAGACCGCAGGGTTCGCGAGACGTATGGGCGAGCAAGGCGACGGGATGGTTACTCGCGCAGCCCTCGTTATGAGGCTGATGGGGGAAGAGGCGACTCTCGAGGTAGGTGGGAGTCAGATCTGGGCCGACGAGACGGATACAGGGACGACAAATATGAGAGGTCGGACCGAGGTGGATACCGGGGTAGCAGGTATGAGAGAGGAGATCGAGACGGAGACCGACGAGATGACTCACGCGGACGGTATGACCGCAGGGGATTCGCGAGGGCGCAACGTGACGATTCGCGGGGGTGGTACGACCGAGGAGATCGGCGCGATGAGTCACGCGGGCGATACAACCATTGGGACCGTCGGAATGACTCACGGGGACGATATGAGCGAGGAGGATCTGGAGGAGACCGCCGCAATGATTCGCGCGGCCGGAATGAGAGAGAGGGATATGGCGCATCATCCGATCCGCATACAAAGTCCCCAGACCCCAGAGCAGGGAGGGGTTCGACCTCCAGGAGCGCAGACGATAGGCCACCCACTCCCAGGAACTCTTGCGTCTACTGTAGAGGGGATGATCATACCAAGAGAGACTGCCCGGATCTCAAACGGGCAATAGATGAGGGACTTGTCGTGCTTGATGACCGCAAGTACGTCAAGAGGGCAGATGATCTGGGAGACATATCGATGTTCCCTTCGATGAAGGAGAATGTTGAAGCAAGGAGAGTAAAGTCGAATAAAGGAAAAGACCTGGTTAGGAGCCAGAGCATAAAGATAACTTTCGAAGGAGATATGGCAACCACACCCATAAGGGTGGCAACTACCAAGTTGGCTAAGGGGTCTACATCGAAGAAGACTAACACGGATTATGTGATGGCGGAGAAGGACGGACAATGGATCGATGGAGAGGAGGTTATTCTTTCACCACGAAAGCGGGGAGTGAAGAAGTTCCTGATGAAGAGTTCGCTGGATGAGATTGACACGGCCGAGCCACTGAGACAGGTCCTTATGCACCCCATGCAGTGCTCTATTTTAGAATATTTGGCAGCATTCAAGCCGGCTCACGACGAGTTACAGATGATCACGCGGAAGACTCGCATACCTCTATCAGAGAAGGTTCAGGTGGCCCCTAAGGCTGATGCTCCTGCTGTAGCGGTATCAGAGGTGACAGCTAGAGCAGATCATATGGCGACAGTTCTTCTTGACGGGATGGAAGGTGTGCCTCCAAACAAGTTTAACATACTTGGTAGTGGGACCGTGGAGGCGATCCTAAGCGACAAAACGGTTCTAAATGCTGTGATCGACAACGGCAGAGAGGCTGTCATTATAGACGAGGATCTGGCAGAGCAAGTTGGACTCGGACTCGATAGGTCATACTTATTCGAGATAGAGACGGCTGATGGGAGAAAACAACAGATCACAGGAGTTTGCCACAAGGCAGTCATAGAGGTCCAAGGGGTACGAGTGACCCTACCAGTCTTTGCAGTCAAAAACTACAGCTCTGACCTGCTCTTGGGACGGACGTGGTTAAGCCATGTGCATGCGGTGACGATAGAGCGACCGGACGGGAGCCAGACACTGTCCATTAGGAAGCTAAATGTGACGCCGGTTATGATTGAAACGGTGGAACCTCGAGACCCGAGGAACAAAGCAACTCTTGCTGTAGGTGCGGGACCCAGTGATCGGATTAAGTCATTACCTATCTTCGTCCGCGCGGTGCGATTTCGCAAGAAAAAGTATGGACCTCTGCTCACAGTAGAAGAAGGTCGGATTATAGAAGTGAAAGATTTAGGAAATCGGATGATAATGGATGGGAACTCTTATCCAAAGGAAAGGAACGAAGAATTCGGCAGTGTGATATTTATATCTTTTTTAAGGGAATAGCCCCCCTACGCGGAGCAACCCAAACACCACAAGCGAGTAACTCAGAAAGTTAAACCTGTTGCGGTACGTCGAGAGCGATCTACGCTAGAAGGAATATCAGAAGAGGAGATCGTCAAAGAGATTAAGGAAAGGAAAAAAAAGAGTCGCAACGTAGGATAGCAGGGATGGATATCGACGATGGGAACTTAACCCCTCAGGAGAGAGAACGAGTACTAAAGGTACTCAAGACTTGCGATAAGGCTACAACTTTCAGAGACACAGAACGGGGCCGAATTGACCCTCGTTACGCAGCAATTTACGCTAAACGACCGAGGATCTGCACGATTTCGCACACTCCACAATCAGAGCGGTTTTTAGCAGCGCTCGCCGGGGGTGTGTTTGTTTGGAAGGATTTTAGCGAATTTTTCTCACCTTTCCCGCACAAAACCGGCGACGTGCACTCTTAGAAACGCAGTAACTAAACATTAGTTTATTAATTTTTTATTATTAATCGTTAATTAAAAATATTTTATTCCGTCACGTTGAGGGTTCGACCCGATGACTAGACCGTATTTTGACGGTACTCTTGTTTGACCTGACGGGGAAAATTAGGAGTACCCAGAGCACCCCTAATTTTGGATGTGCTGACCACTGAGAGTAACCCTCAAATTAACGAGGGGAGTTACCGCTTCTACCACGCTGTGCCCCACCTCTCTTCTGCTTGCTACGAGTATATTCCCGAAGCAGCTAGCCGCGGGATGGGAATACGGGAGTAGGCCTTGGCATGACCGTTTTACTTTGCACAATTGAAGCGGGAATGGAGCCTCGGATTCCATTAATTTTAATACTAGAATTAAAAATGGGAAAAGGAATTAAGAACAATAGAAGCGAAGAGAAAAATGAGATATTCTTTATTTTATTAAATTTCATCAGTATTTAATTTTCATGGAATCACCGTCGTTATTTGTTATTTCCAGTAATAGAATCAAAAACAGGGAAAGGAATGAAAAACAATAGAAGAAGAAGAAAACAAACAAAATTTTGTTAATTAATTGAATTTCATCGGAATTCATTTTTGTTGGAATTATTTTTATTTTTATTATTTTTGATGATATGATTAAGAAAAAAAAAAAAAAATTAAAAATGATTGAAAGGGAAGAAAATTAATGATTATTTAATATTTGATTAAATTCTGTTTAAATTATTCGTGATAAGTTTGGGGCCGGATTATTTATTTACCCTGATTTAACGATATKCCCTATTCTCCGATAATTGAAATCGCTCACRTRACTTACYTGATATATCTGGCTACTAGCCTTGCCGCAGTTGGTGTGTTTCGAGAGAGCGGGGCCGCATGGTCAGYRGGGGTTGGTGCTACCTTTGTCYRACTATTGCTTCGATATCACGCTCGGTATTGGCTCGACATCGACATGTTTCAGGTTCGGTAATAACTCGACGTCCGTACGGTACAACCCAATGCAGTTCGGGACAGTTGCCTCGGGTTCGGTGTTGATTCGGCATTGGCACGACACTGCTCGATATGTGTCTCAGATTCGGTTTTAGTTCAATGTCGACATCGGGTTGCAGCGCCGCGTCACTACTACTCTGTGTGATCACTGGTTTAGCGCCGAGACAGAATTCCGCGGTTTGGRACTTTTCCTTTGATAYGGTCACTGGTCCGACATTGATGAGACTCACAGCAGCCTGTTGCYACTATTTAATGCTGTACTACTCCAGCTTGGTGTTGATTAGTGATACGGATTTGGCTCAACGACGGTCTGGTCACACTGGTTCAAGTTTGGTACGGTATACTGATKCTAGACAAGTTCGACGATGGTACCACTGCAGATTGGCCAATGGTACGGCACAGGCAAGGTAYTGCGGCARCGTACTATGRCCTRTTCCTTTTCTTTTCAAGCTCGGTAACTGGTATAATCAGAGACACTGCAACTTGACTTTGTTCRTTCCGCTCTACTCTGGCTCGACACTGACCGTTTGTAGCAGTCCCGTGGATTTTTTCCTGGTACGGGACGTGCTATACGAATCTACCTGGCATATTTTTGTTGATACAGATTTCATTGGGCCTGGTGGCTGGCCTAGTTTTCCCAATGCAGGCCACACAGACCTGGTACCGGGCCTGCTTTAGCCAATGCGGGGTAAACTGACAGTATCTTGAGGCGATGGTTTCTGGTACCAGGAGGATATAACGAGGATCAACTGGTCTGGTAGGACATTCAGACGGGGGCAGTCTCTCGCAGCATGCAAGGTGTACCCCGCCCACGTCGCTTATACTGATGATGTCAACGGGGAGCAGTGCACAGGCGATTAAACGAGATGGAGACGCGGGGCAGTCTCTCGCGGCATACAAGGTGTACCCCGCCCACGTCGCAGATACTGAGGAAGTCAACGCGGATCTCACAAGCGCAAGGGGTACGCTGCGGCATTTGCGCATTCGGGCGAAACGGAGGAGACGGTGTGAGTGCGGGGCGCTAGTTTGACTAGGAGGAGGACCATTACCGTGAGAAACAAAGATTACCATGGTCACGACTGACTAAGAGCCGCCGCTGCTGGCGGGAATGAGACTCGTCGGTGAATATCATATCTAACGATTCCGCTGCTGGGGAAGACGACCATCTTCAGTGTCATCATCCCGCTGCAGGCGAGAGCAGCGATCACCATCTTCGGTGTAATCATCCCCCCGCTGGCAGGGACGGAGCTCATCGGAGAATATCAGATCAGACGATCCTGCCGCAGACGGGAGCAGGCCGTACAGTTGTATCTGACCAACCAAGTATTCCCCCTGGTGGTGGGAACAACCGTTTTTGCTGATTCAGGCTAATCAAGTATTCCCACTCCATTAGGAAACAGACAGTTTTGCTGAATCAGACTAATTAAGCATTCCCGCTGCTGACGGGAACGACCGGTTTTGTTGATACAGACCAATCAAGAATTCCCCCTGCAGGCGGAAACTGACAGTTTCGCTGATTCGGGCTAATCAAGTATTCCCGCTGCTGGCGGGAACAACAACTCTCACTAATCAGCCAACCAAGTACTCTCTCCGTTGGCGGGAACATGCAATTTCACTGATCAACCTGATCAAGTACTCCCGCTTCTGGGAGGTGCGGACGGTTCTATAGTTCAGCCAATCAGGCGAATCCCCGCTGCTAGCAGGATCGATTAGTTCCGCTGATCTGCAGACAATTTTTTTATTTTTTTTTTACATATATAAATATATATATTACTTTTCTTGTTGTAGTTGCTGTTCTTCCGGCCTATGTGAATGACTCAAATGTTTCCTTCTTTTTTTTTGCGATGCTTGGCTCGTTTTGATCTCGAACGGGCACTTCTGAGCTTGAACCAACGAGCAAACGACCAGGGCCAAACTAACCCGCGGAGTGGGTAGAGAGAGAGAGAGAGAAGGAGAGAACAGCAGAAAGCGCAGACTATTGAGGCTGTGATCAGCACAGAGAGAGAGAGGGGGAATGACAGCACAGCAGAGAGAGAGAGAGAGGGACCGACAACACAACAGAGAGAGTGAGAGGGAGACTGCACAGTGAGAGAGAGTGAGAGAGAGACTGCGCAGAGTGTGTGAGAGAGGGAGAGTGTGACACTGAGAGAGTGTCTGAGAGAGGGAGAGTGTGACAGTGAGAGAGAAAGTGTGACAGAGTGTGTGAGAAAGGGATTGCACAGTGAGTGCAGTGAGAGAGAGACTGCGCAGTGTGTGTGTGTGTGTGTGTGTGTGTGTGTGTGTGTGTGTGTGTGTGTGAGAGAGAGAGAGAGAGAGAGAGAGAGAGAGAGGCTGCAGAGTAAGAAGTCTGGTCACCACAATTGACCTATCTAAAAGCTATTTGCTGTAAGTTCTCAGAAAACAAGTAGAGTTTTGGTTGAAACTCAAGATGATGTATAACAATCGTGACTTGTAGCGTGAGCTTCCAAATGAAGATCGGGTTTCGTACAGGTAAGAGGGACTTGAAAACAAAGGTATTGACCGTTGGGATTTCGATTCTGGGAATGCCGCGACATCATAGCGCTTGATCCCACATGTGCCACTTTGATAAAAAAGGGGGTCTTTTCCATTTCGAGTGAGGTTGAACGGTTGGATGGGGAAACAGGGAACATGTGGATTGAATGAGAACCCGAGGGTAGTATCTGGAAGAGAAGAGAAGGCGTGAAGATGACTATTGCAGTGGGCTCTCCCTGGAATACCTGGAACAGAGCCCGTGAGTTGAGACACTGTTTACACTTGATTGGTGTGTTTGAAACTGAATCTGCAGTTTGCAGCTCACTCTTGATTGGTTCGCTTGGAACCAAGCCAGCGGACTGGCTCGCTAATTACTCTCCCTGAAATCATTTATTTATTTATTTGTTTATTTATTTATTTATCTMAAGGATCACACTTTTATCATATGATTTCGAAGTAGATCTCGTTACTCAGCTTCCAGAGCGGCGAGAGAGACGGCTCAGGTAACTGAGGGTGAAAAAAGAGTAAATGATAGTGCAGATCACTTCAGGTAGCAGCCTCTCATTGGCGGGTCAGGCAGCAACCGCTCATTGGCGGGTCAGGCAACAGCCTCTCATTCGCAGATCAGGTAGCGGCCTTTGATTGGGAGATCAGGCAGCATCGTGAATATTTTTCGAACTTCCTTTTATTAATCAATTAGGATTCGTTACTAATCTCACAAGACATCGGTTATGCATACGATCCTCGATTTCGTACTCCTCATCGTCGAATGTGTAAACCGAAAACCATTCTGAGCGAAGGATATCGAACCTGTTGGCATGAATTCGCTTAACATAATAAAGCAAACAGGAAGGGTCTTGCCCTTCATTTAACCATAGGAGAATGCGAAGGAGCATCCTCCTTATCTAATAAGCGTCCTCCCTATTCAGATTTTTCTCATAAACCTCAATGAGATTCATATCCTCAAAATCTCGTATCGAAAAAGGACGCATGAGATCATACCGCACCATATGAAGTTCACGTTGTGCCTTAAAAACATAACTCCGCGGAGGATTTCTCGCACTTTCGTCCCAAAATCGCGACTC